GGCAGGGGGATGGCAGGCTGTAGGTGGGTGTTGCGTGTCTGGAGGGCGGGTCCGAGCCAGGCACAGAGTTCTAGGAAAGTGGCCTTGCGCATTCTAAAGTTCTACAAAATACAGGACTATGTAGCACTTTGAAGGCTAACAAGATGGTTTATTAGATGATGAGCTTTCGTGGGCCAGACCCACTTCCTCAGATCAAAATCGATTTTGATCTGAGGAAGTGGGTCTGGCCCACGAAAGCTCATCACCTAATAAACCATCTTGTTAGTCTTTAAAGTGCTACATAGTCCTGTATTTTGTTTCAACTACACGGCTACATTTCTGTCATTAAAGTTCTACAGTCACTGTTGGTTGTCCCACCGCTCCAGGACCAGCCAGTCCCACCAGTCCAAACTGGTTGCCAGCCTCCAGAACCTTCTGTGTATGGCGGGGTGCAACAGCCAGAGTGGAGCAGCTGCAGACACACAGAGGGTGATGAGGAGGAGTTCTGAGTCCATGTCCAGCAGGAACATGTAGGCAGCTGGAAGCAAATGCTGCAAGAACTGCAGCATGGCCATGTGGGGCAGTTGCCTGCCCAGGGGCAGCTCTGGCTCCATAGCACACACCTAGGAAACATCTGTGGCATCTCCAGAAAGAACAGGGCAACCATAGGAGGCACTGCTGAAGCTTTGCTGTCCCTCAAGAGAGGTCTGCAAGCAGGCAGCAGAAACAGAGAAACAGCTGTCCAGGGGGGTCCCTTTAAGCGGGTATCTCTGCAGGGCTCCAGCAACAGCACTCGAGAGCAACTAGTGACCTAAAGCCTGGCTAAAAGTGGTTCCGGGCGGTTTTATATGCAAGAACACCTCCAATGAGTGTGGACATGCTCTTGTGCAAAAGCGCATCGCTTTTCCGATGTGCTTTTGCAGTGTGGATGCACTCTTGCGCAAGAAGTTTTTGCAGAAGATCTCTTCCACAAAAAGCTTCCTGCACAAGAAGCCTACAGTCTAGATGTAGCCAAGCTGTTAACCTTAAGGCTGTTTTCACAGTGAGCTGTTTATCTGGCAATGACATTCCTCTGGGAGTAATTTTTTCACACACAAGATAAAATATACAGAAAATCTCCAGTACTATTTGATGCAGAGCAGTTGCTTAGTAATTTACCAAAGTCACTACCCTAGCACTGGGTGATGATTTGAGGGATGACCCAATATGAGATCATGCTGCAGTATTGATCCTTTCCTTTCTAAAAATAAATTTGTATGCAGCAATAGTTCATAGAATCATAGAGCTGGAAGAGACCTTAGGAGGTCATCCAGTGCAGCCCCCTGCCCAAGACAGGACCAATCCCAATTAAATCAAACCATCCAGGGCCCTGTCAAGCCGAGACTTAAAAACCTCCAGGGATGGAGATTCCACCACCTCCCTAGGTAACCCATTCCAGTACTTCACCACCCTCCTAGTGAAAATAGTTTTTCCTAATGTCCAACCTAGACCTCTCCCACTGTAACTTGAGACCATTGCTCCTTGTTCTGCCATCCATCACTACTGTGAACAGCCTCTCTCCATCCTCTTTGGAACCTCCTTTCAGGAAACTGAAGGCTGCTATCAAATCCCCCCTCACTATTCTCTTCTGAAGACTAAACAAACCCAAATCCCTCAGTCTCTCCTCATAGGTCATATGCTCCAGCCCCTTAATCATTTTGGTTGCCCTCTGCTAGACCCTCTCCAATTCGTCCACATCCTTTCTATAGTGGGGGCCCAGAACTGGACACAATACTCCAGGCCTGCGACTAGACTGGCAAGTTTTTCCGCAAAAGCAGCTGCTTTTGTGCAAAAACTTGCTAGCTGTCTACACTGGCCGCTTGATTTTGCGCAAAAGCACTGATGTTCTACTGTCCGAAATCAGTGCTTCTTGCGCAAATGCTTTGACATTCCCGTTTGGGCAAAAGCCCTTTTCCGGAAATGTTT